GGCTAATTAACTACTAAATAAAGATTATAAATCTTTAAATAGCTTAAAGCTAAAAAGGTACTATTATAATAATAGATAAAAAGTATAAGTTAAACTATACAGTTCTAAAATAGATATTTTATTAATTCTAAAGAATAACTCTTTTAGAATAAATAAAAATCTTTTTCTTTTAAATATATTAATTACTTAGAACAAGTAATAATATAAATAAAATATGTTCTAATAAAGCTATAAGCGCCTAGCTAGGCTTATAACCTATAAAGAATAGATAAGTAACTAGAACTATTCTCTAATAATAGAATATAGCTTTATTAGAATAAAGTAGTTAAATACTATAATAAATAGTATAACTAATAAAGATTATAATAAAGTAATTGCAAAGTAGATAATAAGTAAAAAGTAATAATATTATTACTAAGTAAAGAATAACTATAAAGAATTACTATTTCTTTTATAGAAAATAGCTACTAGAATAATTACGTAAATATCTACCTATTTCTGCCTAAAGATAAAGATTTATAATTAAATCTACTTAATTTCTACTAATTTCTAGATTTATAATCTAAGTCTACTAAATTCTTTTTATCTTCTAGATTTATAATCTAGACTAGTACTAATTATATTAGTCTATGCCTTATATTGCATAGACTAATAATTAGTTTATTACTAGATCTTTTAGTAATTACAAAAAGAGAGATAAGAAGATAAGAGTTATTAAATTACGTAATAACTCTAATATTAACTAGGCTAAGATAAATAGAGGTGTTTTAGAATCTTCTAGTGTAGCAGATTAAAACTAGCTACTAAAATCTTAATTACGTAAGCAATTAGATTTACTAGAAATTTTTCTAATTTGTTAAGAGATAATAATAAGTATAATCTTAACAAAGCTTAATAATAAAAAGATAATAATAACTAAGTTATTATAATCTTTATAGATTATAAATCTAAGAATTAAGTAGATTTAATTATAAATTCTTATCTTTAGGTAGAAATAGATAGATATTTACGTAATTATTCTAGTAGCTATTTTCTATAGAAGAAATAGTAATTCTCTATAGTTATTTTTTACTTAGTAATAATATTATTACTTTTTACTTATTATTTACTTTGTAATTACTTTATTACAATCTTTATTAGTTATACTATTTATTATAGTATTTAACTACTTTATTCTAATAAAGCTATATTCTATTATTAGAGAATAGTTTCTATTACCTCTCTATTCTTTACATAGCTTATATACTATATACTACTATTTCTAAAAAGCTTTTCTAAAATAATATTAGTATAGAAACTAAGAATAATCTTAATACTAGTAAGTATAAGATTAGCTTTTTTAGGTCTTTTAGAAGTACTAAAAATAAAATAAAGTATATAATTACTAATACTAATTACTAAAAGAATCTAGCTATCTACTTTAACTATTTTCTTATTAGTCTTAATAAAGAAATTAAACTTAATTAAAGCTTTATTATTAACTAAGTAAACTATAGCTTTACTATTAAAAATTATACTAGCTAAGAGCGCGTAAAACTTAAAGTCTATACTAAAAATAAAAGACTTAAACTTAGTAATTAGCTTTATAAAGTAAATAATTATAAAAACTATATTATTTAAGTACTTAGAAGCTAAAGCGCTTATTTTTTAGTATAATTACTTAACTTTCTTATATAAGCTACTTTACTTTTCTTTATAGTAGTACTTTTAGATCTTTTATTTATCTTAAGTAAAGAGTTCTATAAGTAGAATACTTAGTAGTCTAGATTTAGTAATTATAGTCTATAATTAAAAGTATAAAATAGACTTTTATTTATACTTTACATTAAGTTTATAAAAGTAAAGTTTTAATAGTAAGCTTAACTACTTTTTATCTAACTTAGTAGAAGTAGAGAGTTAATCTATAACTATATTAAAGATTATATTAGCTTTTTTTTTTTAGTAGTAATTAATATCTTTTAGAAAATAATACTAAATACCTTACTAAGATTATTAAAGCTTAATATATTCTTTTTAAAAGCTATAGTAAATAATTAATTATATTACTACTAGTAAGCTTACTTAGAGTTAAACTTTTTAATAATAGTAAGAAAGTTAGTAATTATAAAAAGTTTTTTAATCTTTAAGAGCTTAAAAATCTTTATCTTTTAGTAAAGTATTAACTAGTTAGTAAACTACTTTTTAGTAGTATTTTTTTAGATCTTTTTAAGATAAGTATAATACTTTATATAAACTATATATTATATAGTCTAATTAGTAAAAGTAAGTATTATCTTAAGAGTTTTTATAAAAGACTAACCTATTTTTTATTATTACTTATAGTTATAAGTAATAAGTACTTAAATATAATAGTATATATAATCTAGTTCTTAATATTATTAATCTTTTTACTTTTTTTTAACTACTACTTAAACTTATAGTTCTAGTAAGCTATAAGTATAGTACTATTTTTAGTCTTATAATTATAATCTTATAAAAAAGTATTATACTTAGAAGTAGCTTTATTATACTTATTTTTTTAATTTTTAGTTAGCTTTATAAAAAGAAAAGCTAAAGCTATAAGCTTTAAAACTAGAAAGTTAAAAAACTTAGACTTTTAAGTATTTATATATTTAATATTTAGAAAATTAGAATTAATTTCTTTCTAAATACTCTTTTTATTATAGTATTACCTAAAAAGTATAAACTAAGTATTTTAGTTATATTACTTTTTAAGAAGTATACTTATAGCTATAATAGCTATATTATAATTACTTATATTTATAAAGTTAAAGTATAGAATTAATATAAAGATATAAAGAATAATAAAAAGATAGATAGTAAGTAAGTAATTATATAAGAAAAGTTCTAATTATAGAATATTTAAAGAAAGTAAAGTAAAAATAAGATTAATTAATTTATCTTTTAGTAAGCTTTAATACGTAGTAGAAATTAGTTCTATAATTAAGTAGCTAGACTTATAACTATTAGAGCTAGAAATAATTAATAATTAAAGATAATTAAGTATATTATTATTATTTTACTATAAAAGAAAGTTAGAATAAAATCTCTAGCTATATACCTAAGAGCTAAGTTTTTATATTTTTATAATTAGATAATTATAACTACTTTCTAACTTTAATATATATTCTAACTAAAACTTTAAAATATATTACTATATTAGTTAGAAGCTAATAAATATATATAATTATAGTCTAATGTTTTTAAAATATTAAAAGTTAAATTCTTACTATAAAGTACTTTAGTATTAAAATAGCTTTCTAGCTAGTTTATATTTATAATCTCTAATAATCTTATAAGTAATAGTTCTAAAACTCTAAGCTATAGCTTACTTAATACTACACTTTTAAAAGTAGATTAAATATATAGTTATATATTCTTTAGTATAATAGTAATAGATCTAACTTTTAATATATTACTTTATAGACTATAGAAACACTAGTCTACTAATAGATATCTTTAGAAGGTTTTATTCCTAAAGTAATCTTATAATACTTAGGTATCTTAGAGCTTTGTATTTGTATTTTAGGTTCTAGATTTATTTCTCTACTTTGCAACAGAAAAACAGTAGTACAAGGTCTAAGACAAATTCTAGAGGTGCTATTTAAACCCCGCTATGTACGCTCTGCATATGTTTGTACGTCTCGCCTCCGCTGCTCAGCGTCTTCATGCAGAACCAGCAGATGTGTACCTGGCACGAGGTGCATGTCATTTGGTTGCAGCCATCCGCTTTCTCGATCGGCACCCCGCAATTTGGGCAGTCTCGTACATCATGGTCTTTCTTCCACTTCGCGAGCTTTCCGTCTTCCTCTAAGGCAGCTTTCATGAGAGCTTTGTTGGCCTCACATGTGTGCCCATCATGAGGTCCTTGGTGGCAGCTAGTGCAAATGGAGGTGAGGCAGCCGTCGCAATCAAACATTCGAGGGTTTTCAGCGTCCGAGATTCTGTAGAAACGATCGCAATCAGGTGTAGAGCAGTAGTCGAATTCTGTTGGTCGACTACGAAGGTATGACGTCAGGGAAGTCTGTAGAAGATCATCGTATTCAGTTCCAGAAAGAACTTTTTTGACGTCGGAAAGATCCAATGGAGCGCCACAAGCTACGTCCTCTCCGAGACATCTGAGCGGAAAAGAGTCGGCAAACGTGCATTGCGAAACGAGGCAGGAGTTGCAATAGACGTGGCCGCACGACGCCTTGATAGGGTCTTCCGGTGGGGTGAAGCAGACCGGGCAGAGTAGCTCGGATTCGTCCTCGCTGTTGGAGATCCCGGCGATGTGTGTTACCAATGAAGACGATGCACACGATGCGAGAATCTCCTGTACCCGGACCGCATCTTCCGTGGAGCCTTCGACGATGATTCGCTTTGGGGTGTTGATGATGTCTAGCTTTACTTTGTTCTTCCCGAAAGCGGCGACGACTTTTCGAAATCCACCTTTGAGGGCAAACTCCAGAGCCTCGGGATCAAGAATGACGGTGTGAGAATGCTCCCTCAATTCTGCACATGTAGCCACCGGAGCGCTTTCGACTCGTTCGATACCCTCGTGATCTCCGTATAATCGAAGAACTGATCGACGTAAATCCTGGTGTATGAAAACCCCATGTGAGGCTCCTAGATCGTTCAGAAAGCTCTTTGTTGAAGGTCTGAAGTAGAACGGGTCTGTGATCGGGCCATGTCCGTCGGTGGCGATCTGACCGGTAAGGAGCTTCTCCACGGCCGACTTGGCCTTAGCAACTGGTTCTCTGGACTGCCCAAAGATGCGGACTTGGGTGTATTGTTTGCCCAGAGTTTTGTAGCTCTTGATCTGCACGTAATCTGTTCGCCATGTATGGTCGACTAGAGGGTCAAGCTGTGATCGAATGGCTGCTAGGATTCGAGAGGAGACCGACAATTTGATGGATACCAGAGGAGTGACCTGCATCTTATCATTCGAGCTGGGATCGAGACAAGTTTCGTGCATCTTCTTGACCGCATTTCGTGCTGCCTCTGCTTCGCTAAACTTGGCGATGATCTTCGTTCTACTTCCTCCCTTCTGGGGATAAGCAGTACACTCTTCGATGAGAGTACCGTGCGATTGAAGTTGCGTGATAGCTCTTTCTTCTAGCTGTTTCGCAGTGAGTTTGTGAGATTGAGGTCCCCAAGTCACCTTAGTGGGCGGTGGATAAGGAAGGAATCGTCGAAGTCCCGCTTCGTTCGTGTCCAGGTCTAGATTGCCTACTTGCAAGGACCGAGCTGGTTGATACGTGACATCGAGCTTCCGGCCCTGGAACTCATTCGAACCCGGGCGACCGATGCGTTCGAGCGCCCGCTTCGCTTTCCAATCCGCGTCATATTCGAGATAAGCCACCTTCGAAGGATTGAACCATGAACATGTTACGCTGGTGAGCTGAAGTCGATTCATTCCGGATACTGTCTCTCCTGCAATTTGCATTTTCGACACGCGAACTTCCATTTCCCGAAGACGGACCGGAGTATCCTGAAGACACTGGAGAAGCTTGTTGGCAAAGTCTGGATCACGGACTTTGATCAGAGCTGCCTTATGGAGCTTCTCAGGGATGTGTTTGAGGCGAACACAATCGTGCGTTACCTGGGGAAAGCCTCTGCCGATCAAGAGGTCGACTAGCTCTTGTACAGATGTATGTGGAGATAGGTCAGATGCGAGCACGGCGGAGAAGTCCGAAGTCAAAGAGATCTTAAAAACAGATGCACCGTTAGCGAACTCCACGGTCGCCCCTCCGATTGTCCTTGGTATTTCGGTTTCGTTACGCTCTTTGAAGGCAGGATTGGCGCGCGCCGAAGTGGGTGTAGTGAGGCCGACGTACTTGATGGGCGTGTGATCCGACAGCGTCTTCGGCATGACTAGATTCTCTCTAATCTCATGACTGAAGGGACATTGCTCTGCCATATTACAGATGCCCCTCTGAAAGTACCTACACGGTATACTCGGCCTAGTGTCCCTTGATGCAGAATGGAAGTCTGTAGATGTGACTGTAGTCGGATTTGAATGCTCGAAAGTACAGAAGTGTCCCTTCGTACATGTGCCTTGGAGATAGAATTTGCAAGTTATCTTCGCTCTTGGAATGGAGCCGCCCGACTGCGATCGGGTAACAGGTTCCGCTTTGCGTTCGGGGGAGGTAGGGGTGGGGACTGTATCGGGATGTTGGAAGCGACACGTCGACCCGTTCACGCAACGTCCAGCGACAAAGAAGTGGCATATCTTGTTCGCCATCGTCGAGAAGAGGTGGTAAGGCGGGGTTCGGGTTCGGGCTCCTGCGTCGTCTTGCTCAAAATTCGATTGGGCTGTGTAACTTCAAGTAGGCCAATCGCATATTGCGGCGCCGGGCCAACTTCGTCATGTGACGTAGTATCACGCGTTTTACGCAGCAGCGATACGCGCCTGATAAGATTACTGCATGCAGCAGAACGAGTGTGGCGTATCGCTCGCTTGATCATCGCCCGCATCAGTGTCACCCGCCAAGTACCTTTCTACCAACCTACACTGTTCCATCTCGCTATCAAGCGATACTATTAGCGTAGGTGATACATTTATTGGCGGGATATCAAAGGAAGATCTGCTTCGCGACTATAGGCCAGCCCTCCACGCCGCCACGGTTATTGGAGTCAGTTCTCTGTTAGTGAAGTTTTGGGGAAGAGAATCCCCAGTGGGCCAGCTCGAGGATGGCGAGCTCACACATTTGGCATTCGCCCGACCTACCTGCACAAAGGAAATTTTCCTGTCGTTTTCCTGATGAATGCGCAGATGTTGCTGCGCTAACCCTGATCGCTCGATATTGCCCAATTGAGTGGTCCCAGTGGGTTAGAACAAGAACGCACGGTTTCTACCCGGAACCCGGCCTGAATGAGTCCAATTCAAAGCAAAGGGCGACACAAGCTCGCACACCGCCATATTCGGTTCTGATCATCGAGACATGCTCGATCTGATCGTCTTGCACGTGAGCGAGAAGCATGAGAAAAAGTCACTGCTCGAAGCCAGAGATGAATTAAGCTACACGCCCTTCCACAAAGCTTCGCTAGTTCAGAGACATCAGAATACCCTGCTGATTCTTCAAAGGTTGGGGGCCAAAATTGAAGCAGTGCATGGGGACGGTGAGACCTCACTGCAGACCGTCGTTCGCAATGAGAATGCTGGCTTACCTAGGGAGTGTTACATCTTCTTCGAAGTGGCGCGAGCCCCCAAATCAAGACGAAGGATGGTTCGGATATCTGAGAGCTGGCTGTGATCTCCTTCCTGAAAAGGTCATCAAACACAGAAGAGCAGGAAAGAAAAAAGATATGTATGCGTTAGCCTGCGGAGGGGACGACAACTATTTCCAAGGGTCTAGCAGCACGATGGAGATGGTGGACATGGCCAAGATCGACCTCACAAGGGATGGCTTCAGTCTTGTTTATCAGGACGACTCTTTCATCATGCGCAAATCGAGCAGCGCGTCCAAAGAATGTTGGGTGGTGTAGCGTTAGTGGAGAACGGTTCCCTGTATATGTTGCTTAGGCGTGCGATGAATGATGCAGACTGTTACACCTACTCTCAATTTTGTTCCACTCCCTACAGTCACTTCATCGCCATCCCATGGTACTGCGATGACCCAGAGGCGACCCAGAGACGACGAGCCAACCACACCTCCCGCATTCCATACGACTCATACGCGAGGAGATACTCTACAAAAGAGAGAAGTATCGCATCTCCAAGAACCTACAGTCACTTCCAAACAGCGCGAGTATAGCTTGATCGCAAGGATGCAAATGAAAAGCGTCAAATTCTAGGGTATCGTGTCTCATCTAACTAAGTATTATACAAGTGCGCAGTCTAATGCCTCCAACCAATCATTACGTTCATTTCCTGTTCTCAGCTACGCTCGCGTCATCACCGACCACGACGATCGCTGGCGCAGCACCAGCCTCAGCCTCGCTCTCCTCGCTCTTCTTCTTGCGGAAGGTGAACAAGGTCTTGACCTTGCTCATACCCGTGCAGCACCATCGGTACACGATGACGACAGGCTTGCCGACAACACGCGCGATGGCAGCGAACCACTCGTCGGGGAAGTACCTGATCAGCACTGCCCAAGGAATGCAGACGAAACCCACAACGATGCTGATAGCCCATTGTGTGCCATCGATACCTCCGGGCTTGATCTGGAATGCGCGTCCACCGACAAAGACGATGAGAACCTGGAGGCCGATGATCATGACAACGATGCCAATGAAGAACCAATTCCTGAATACACCCTCAAGAATGTTGAGCTTGTTGTCCAGACGCCTGTTGTTGAAAATGTTGAAGATTTGCATCCAGACGAAAGCGTTGAAGATGACGGTGTCGAGCTCGAGTTGCTTGTTGGGGTCGGAAAGATCGTAGCCAAGGATGTCGCCGCCAGCGAAGTATAGCACGAAGATGACAGTGATCTTGTAGATGTTCTGGCCCATGATTTGCTTCCACATTGTTGTTGTGATGAGAGGGCCTTTGCCCTGCGGTGGGCGGTCGAGGATCTTCTCGGTCGGTGGGTCGGTAGCGAGGGCGAGGGCGGCAAAGGTGTCCATGATGAGGTTGACCCAAAGAAGCTGTACGGCTCTGAGAGCTGGCTTCATCTCGTCATCGTAGACCGCGGTCACGAACGCGAGAACCACGGCGGTGATGTTGACAGTGATTTGGAACTATGCATGTTAGCTGGCTGGAATAAACTGGAAGATTATGTATGGCTTACCTGGAGGAACTTCTGGACGGCGTCGTTGACGGCCCTACCCCACATCAACGCGGTGATGATGGAAGCAAAGTTGTCGTCCATGAGAATGATCGAAGAGGCTTCCTTGGCAACCTCAGTGCCAGAGACCATGGAGAAGCCAACGTTGGCTGCTTTCAGTGCTGGGGCATCGTTGGTACCGTCACCAGTCACAGCGACAATCTCGCCAAGGGTCTTGAGACGCTGAACGAGGATGCGCTTGTCTTCAGGCGATGAGCGGGCCAGCACCTGTAGTCGCGGCAATACCTCATCGAGCTGCTCTTCAGTAAGGCGGCGGAAGTCTGGTCCCTCCATTACCAACCCGCCCTCGGTATAGATCAGGCACTCAGTCGCGATCGCTCGCGCAGTTTGCATGTTGTCACCGGTAACCATCCTGACCGTGACACCAGCCTTCTGTGCCTTGCGAACAGCCTCGGGCACACCAGGGCGAACGGGGTCCTGAATACCAACTAGCCCGAAGAATGTAAGATCGCGCAGCAGGGAGGCGAAGTCGACACTGCCACCCTCAGTGAGCGTGGCGTTGACCGGTGGCCATTGCTCGAAGTCGCGGTACACTAGTCCAATAGTCCTGAGAGATCGGTTCGCGTATGCGTTGATCGCCTCGGTCAGTACCTGGCGGTGCTCTTGCGACAGCGGCTCTGTCTCCAGTGACTCGAAGTGCGCAAATGCAGAGGCAAAGCTGAGGAGGATCTCAGATGCACCCTTGACGACGAGGCGGTAGTGTCCGTTCGGAAGCCTCACAACGGCACCCATGCACTTCTTGGCCGAGTCGAAGGGGAACATGTGTACCACCTGCTCGCTGTCGCGGGTCTCTGACAGCGAGACGAGTCCGAGATGTTCCTTAGCGAGCTCAAGCAGCGCAGTCTCAGTCTTGGATCCGACGAAGACAGACTTGCCGTCCTCTTGGCCTTCGAAAGCTGTAGAGTTGATTGCGATAGACTGGATGAGGAGTTGCTTTGCAGCAGCCGAGACCTTAGATGCCCATGCCGAAATAGTTTGGTCCTTCTCCGAGGCGGCGTCCGCGTGAACGAAGCTGGTGGTGCCGAAAGTGCCGGCAACGACCGTCATTCGGTTGGTTGTCTGTGAGGTATTAGCATATGTTCATGTCCAATCGAGAAATAGTACTTACCAAAGTACCGGTCTTGTCTGAGCAAATGGCTGTAGCATTGCCCATAGTCTCACACGCGCGCAAGATCCTGACAAGGTTGTTCTCCTTCAGCATCTTGGTTGTCGCGAAAGCCAATGCCAACGTGACCGCTAGTGGAAGACCTTCTGGGACTGCTACCACGATAATGGTTACAGCAACGATAAGGATATCCATAAACGCTGAACCCTTCTGAGATGCAGATCGGGTATCACCAGACAGCCCACCAACAAAACGGAAGAGAAGGACAAAGAAGAGGAGACCAGCAGCTGCAGTTCCGAGGTAAGCGATAGCCATGGCAAGCTTAGCGAGCTTTGCCTGTAGTGGTGTCTCCTCGATCTCGACGCGGACAGACATCATGATACGGCCAAAGCTGCTGTTCTCTCCAACGGATGTCGCCATGAAGGTACCAACGCCCTCGAGAACCTTTGCGCCGGAGATGACGAAGGGGTCAAGGCCCTTGGTGGACTGGCCAGACTCAAGTGCCTTCATAACGGCGGCACCTGGTGTCTTGCGCATGGCGTCTGATTCTCCCGTAGCAGAAGACTCGTCGCACTTGACGTCGGAGCCATCCACAAAGATTCCGTCGACTGGAATGACATCGCCAGGCTCCAGGTGTATGATGTCGCCGGCTAGGACGTCGTAGATGCTGATCATAGCGGTTTTTCCCGATCGTGTGACTTTGATATCGCGTTGTTCCTTCTTCGCGTTGAGCTTTGCGAATGCTGCTTCCTTTTGCCAGTCATTTACGGCGGTGACGAGTACCACGATGACGATAGCTACAACAATTGCGCAACCCTCGACCCAGTCCACAGGTGTAGGAGATCCCGGTGGATGTTCCGCACCAAATGTCTCGTAGAGTCCAAGTGCGAGCGAGATGGCCGCTGCAACAGTAAGAACAATAAGTACAGTGTCATTGTAGGCGTTCCAGACAAGTCTCCATAGAGGGGTGACCTTCTT